GGCAGGACTTGATACAAACCAAAAACACAAGAGACTCTTTTTTTTAATGTTTATCTTACAGACAGAGAGAAAGAGAGCACGCTCATGTGTGTGAAGGACTGGGGGAGGGGCAGAGACAGAGAGGGAGTCACAGAATCTGAAGCAGGTTCCAGGCTCCGAGCTGACAGCACAGAGCCTGACACAAGGCTCGAACTCATGAACCATGAGATCATGACCTGAACCAAAGTGAAACACTTAACTGACTGAGCCACCCAGGTACCCCATCACAAGAGACTTGTGAGAGACTATCTTAAGGATAGAGAACAAATTGAGGTTGGTGGAGGGAGGTGGGTAGGGGACAAGCTAGATGGGTGATGGCTGTTCAAGAGGATACTTATGTGATGAGCACTGGGTGTTGTATAAAGTGACAAATCACTGAATTGTACTCCTGAAACCAATACTGTACTGTATATTAACTGACTAAAATTAAAAACAAACAAAACCTTGTGCAGGCTATTGTGCAGGTTTTTATGTGGACATAAGTTTTCAACTCCTTTGGGTAAATACCAAAAGGAGTAGCTGCTGGATTGTATGTTAAGACTGTGTTTAGTTTTGTAATAAACTGCCAGACTGTCTTCTAAATTGCTGCTCCATTATGCATTCCCACCAGCAGTATATAAGAAGAGTTCTTGTTGCTCAGTATCCCCACCAACATTTGGTGCTGTCAGTGTTTTGGATTTTGGCCATTCTAGGTTTTTGGTGATAACTTGTTTTAATTTGAATTTCCCCAAAGACATATGATGTGGAGCATATTTCCATATGCTTATTTGTCATCTTTGTATCTTCTTTGGTGAAGTATCTGTTAAGGTCTTTGGCCCATTTTTAAATTAATGTTGTTATTTTCTTACTGAATTTTAAAAGTCCTTGGGATGCCTGGGTGGCTCAGTTGGTTGAGCGTCCAACTTTTGGTTTCAGCTCAGGTCATGATCTCACAGTGGGTGGGACTGAGCCCCGCGTCAAGCTCTGCACTGACAGCATGCAGCCTACTTGGCATTCTCTCTCTCCCTCTCTCTCTGCCCGTCTCCCTCACTCTCTCTCTCTCTCTCTTTCTCAAAATAAATAAATATTGAAAAAAATGACTGGATACAAGATAAACATTTTTTGGTCACTTTCCTGTATATCAACCACACACACACACACACACACACACACACACACGAAAAAAAGAAAGAAAAGTGGGTGAAGAGCCTTATTCCCCAAAGTCACATAGTATATAACCAGTTAGAAATATAAGAAATGTATGGCAAGTACATACACACATACCCCCAAAACCTTAATATTATACACAAGGAAAACATAAGTTTAAAAAGTCAATATACATTGCATATCTAAGTGGGAAGAATGAATAACGTAAAAATGCCAATTCCCCCAAAATATAATTGAAATTAAAATTCAAAGAGATTTATTTTAGACCTGAAACATGATTCTAAGTTCACTTACAAAACTAAACATGTAGGAATATGAATATGTGTATATCAAATGAAAATATGGATTACACAAATCTGTGATAATTAACCATGCAATATCAACCAAATAATAGATACTTAGAATAAACAGACATAATGAAGGGAAAAAGGAATGGGAGACTACACAGAGACAAGATGAGGGTAGAAAGAATATTAATGGGGAACAGACTTCTACTTCAGATAATGACAATATATACCAAGCACACCAATCATCCTACTAGGAACATTTTAAAAATCTGGTCAAATGATTTTTAAAAATCTGCTTGCAGGCACAGAG